GGAGTCGAGCGCGTCTGGCGTTCCTGCGGACGACGACACAAAACGACTGCGACCCCACTGCCCCCCCCCCCCCCCCCAGGTGCACGACAAGTGGACGCGCGCACGCACACCGACCTCTACGACCCGACAAATGAGATACGGTTTTGCTTTTAACAAAAGTAAGGCAGGTTGTTTGTTTCTTTCTTCCTCTTCCTTACCGCAGCGGCGCTTGCCTCGAGACGCGAAGTAAAAGCGGCCGTGTTTGCACGGAGGGGGGCGCGGCACTCCGAGCGACGATGACTATCATCATCGCGCGCGAGCGTCCTCGGCCCGAGGAAACCGCAGAGGACAAACTCCGCAGTGCCACTCGGCGCGCGTATCAAAGGGGCTCCGAAATCTTTCGGCCGTCCGCACCCAGCCACCGCGCACACGGCGGGTGGAGCCTTCCAGCGTGCAGGCGGTGCAACTGCATCGGGCGCCACGCCACCTACGCTCCAGCACTGGACCGCACAGACACTTGCGGAGAGACACGAGGAATGTGCTTGCACAGTGGTGTAGCTATCGAGGATGCGGGCGGTGAGACCGCACAGGGGCCCAAGGGCCAGCGGGCCGCAGGTGCCGGGTTACGAAGATACGGGAAGGTGAACAGGGCCCCCCCCCGCTCCTCCCATCGTTTCATTCCTTGCACCGGTGCCCGTGTCAACCGCGCTGTGCCATCGTCCGAGTCGACAGCGCCTGGGTGGAGCCTGCAGGCGTGTCGCCCTGTCTCGGGTGAACCCCACCCCCCCCCCCCGAACACCCCCGCCGCCCTCTCGACCACGGGGTGACAGCGAGAAAGGCTGCAACGTTCCTAATCACCATTACTGCCGCTGTAAGTATTTGAAATCAGGGCCACACATTGGCGCACGAGGGCGCGGTGCAAAAGCAGACACTGGTCAGGAGTCTGGAGGGGCTGCGTGGTTTTGGGCTAGCCAGGCTGGAGGCTGTTACTTAGGCCTCAGGCTTGAGGGCGGAGCGCCGGTTTCATTTGACCGGTCTCGGCGGGGAGGGCGCTCCAAGGGGAGACGCTGCTAGGCGGCCCGCTGGCATTACCGAGCCACAGGCACACGGCAGCCTCGGCTCGTGCTGCACGGCCACGCTCGCTACGGCACAGCCAAGCAAATCAAGGTGCATAACGAAGCAAGGCGATTTTGTGCTTTTGGCGATAATTTCAACCCAATTCTGCTCTCGACATCACATCATGAGAAGAGGTGCCCATTCGGAGCTATCGCAGTGAGCAGCGGGGCAATTTATTTATCAGCTTGCCACTCAGCGATCTCTGCCTGAACAGTGTTTTTAATGCATGGCAGGGTCTAACAGTGTTAGTGTTCTAAGCTGGGTGGCAGGTGAGCTGAATCACCCTTTTGTGTCTTAATTTATGAACGCTGACAAGAGAAACCGCTCCTTGAAAAAGAACTGGCCAAACATTCCAAGGCTGGACTATCCTGAATAGGACTTAATATCCTGAGGATTTCCAGTGTAAATGAAGGATGTTTCATATTCTTTGCATCTTTCTGTAAAGTCACGTAGATAGGTTTTCTTTTAACCTACCTACCAACGTGACTTTACCGAAAGACCCAAAGAATACGAAGGACGTTTGTTTCATTAATGCTTGTTTTTCATTTATTTATTTTTTACCTACGCGACTTTACCGAAAAAACCAAAGAGTATGAGTATTTGCCACCTCTTTAAATCAACGATTTGTCACTATTTGGGGTGGCGATGCGATTTAAGAATCGATTATATGTTTAAAATAACGTATCGACGCCTCGAGAGGCAATTACATAAAGCGTATACGGGCTGATAATGATCGCTGCACACGAGCAAGATTTGATGGTCGCATCATGCACGTTAGGAATTGATTTTAATTGCTATGGCAATGTATCGTTACACCTCTAATTATCATTACATTCGTTTGAAAACTGACGATTGGAGACACTGTGAGACGTACGTTGGTGTGGGCCTCTCCCCGCCCTCGAAATAATGAGGGCAACAGATCACGCACACACACACACACTAGCTTGCATGCACACATGCAACGCAATGCACGCGCCCACTCGTCGTTCTTTTGTTTAGAGGCAATGCCACTCCCTGTTGTTTGGAAGTTTTTTTCTCCAAGTAGAGGACTGTCCACCCCTCGTGGTGACTAGAGCCAGAACGAGCCCACCACAGAGGCCCAGGCGGTACCGGTCCATCTCCCGACCGAGGAATGGCAGCCTCTCCTCCGCAGCAAGAGTTCGAACATGCCACGTGGCCAACCGCGGTAGACTCACACCAATGCCTGGATACAAAGATCCCCGAATAGCTTTAACAGACTGTTGGTGTAAGTGCTGTTAGCGATCACCTATGAAGGCCAGTAAGGCACACGAGGGGGTGGGTGGCCAGCACCACGCCCGGCCGCCTTTGTCTCCCGAGTGGCGATGTTTACACACTGCACCAGGTAACTAATTTGAGACTGAGTAAACCTAGGGGAGGCCCATGACCGGTACAGAGATGTTGGCCCTGAGCGGGAATCGAACTTAGGTCACGGGGTTTGTAGCGCAGCGTGCCAACCGCGACACCACCGCTCCCCACAATATATGCATACACACGCACTAAGGCACTCACACAGTCACTCACGCAGTCACTCACACGTGCACTCCAAACTCCCACGCACAGTCGCCCACGCGCGGGCGTGACACAACAACCGCCAGCCGCCACTAAGCGGCGGTAATGTCACCACAATGCTTGTGCCAGACTAGGTGCATCGTGAGGCGATCATCTCAAGTGTGGAAGACTGGCCCAGGTGTTACAGTTGCAGGTTATGACGCAAACACACACACGCTCTCCTGTCAATCTCATCACACGTGCGGCCCTGTGCTCTCCCTATGCAGTATTTGGGACAAATTCTGGCCTCTCTGTCCAAACGACACCAAAGCCGGCCGGGAGGAGCAGGTCCTCGATGGAACCCACGGTGCATCGCAGCTCTGTGATCACTCCCCGTGCCCTTGGCGCGATCTAGAACTCGCACGGAGGACGGTGCTGCGACTCCAAGCCTCGACGGCGGAGGCAATTGCGCGCAAAACTCTCGGCTGCGAATAAAAAAAAAAAAACCCACTCGCGCACACACTCGCTAAACTACGGCAGCCCCGGCCTGAAAATCACAAGGGAATTAACAAAGAGACGCCGCACAATAGCGTTGCTTGCACAAGGGTTAAAAAAAAAAAACCCCAAACCCAATTTGTATGCCGAGGCTGCTGCCCCGCCGACAGCTTCATCATTAGCCGGCGCCGGAATTCCATTACACGTAATATTTGGGTGCGAGGGACGGTGGGACAGCGGCGAGTGGCGAACGGAGCCACCCCGCACCGGCGGGCACGCAGGCACGCGGCGGGTTATTTTTTTTTACTACAATCCGTGCAAAAGAGCAAACGAGTTTAACAAGGCAATTACATCGGTGCTGATGAGTTACACGATAGGAACAGCACCCCGAGCCCGGCAAAGGATAATACGCTGTCAGTCATTAGCGTGGCGCGCGGGAGCCTTGTAGCGCCGCGACCGGCGCCCCGCGAGTGCGCCGGCAAGTGGCAGCCGCGGAATTCGAAAATAATATGGCGCCAATTAAAAAAACTTGGCCCCCGCGGTAATTGGCTGACCAGAGCATATGCATGAGTGGCAGCCGGGGCTGCCGGTGTCACGCCGCAAGCGCCGCGACGCCTCTCTATCACGCCGACGCTCGGCGAGAGAGAGAGAGGGAGGGAGAGCGGCGGGCTCGGCGTGCCCGGCCCGCCGGGGTCGCGCGGCGACGGCGAGCGGCGCGTGTGCGGTCAGTGGCACGCTCGCGGCTATTACCCGGAGAGCGTCCGGTGACAAATTGGCCGTTTAAGCCGCTCGCGCCGTCGCCCAAACAGCGGGTAGAGGTCACGGTGGCGCTCGGGGGGGTGGGGTGGTGGGGGGAGCAGTGGTGGGAGGGGGGGGGGGTTTCCACCGAGCCCCCCACTCTGCGCTGGGAATGAACAGCCTTGTGGTGACAGGGTGGACTGGCGTGGCACTCCCGCGATCGTGGAACGCGGAGGATGATTTGCCCGATAGACGTGCCCCCGCGCCCCGTTGGGAACCGCACGCTAGCAATCGCTGCGCTCGCAAAGATACACCTTCTGATGAAGGTGTTAAAAAAACACTAAAAACGATATAGTTGTGAATTTAAATCCAGTTGCGTATAAACACAGAAGACGTTATTTAGAATAAACGTTATTTAGAATAAACGTTATTTACAAATAATGTAATTTAGAAATAACGTCTTCTGACGCGGCACCGTGTTCTCAGGAGAGGCCAAAGTTACAGTGAGCGTGCCTCAGTGCCGACTGCAGTTCAGCGGTGCGTCAGTCGGGGTCGTCTCGAGTGAGCAGGCTGGGCTCGGTGGGGGGGGGTGGGCTGATGTGGAACCCACCGGGTGAAGATGGGAAACAAAACTCACGACGCATTACGAACCAGTGACAGATTGAGGGGGGAGGGGGGGTGGAGGGAAAAAAATAAACCCAATATAAAGAAAATGAGTGGACATTAAGAAAAGTAAACAAAAGTGACAGCGTGCAGCATTGTTTATTCATCAAAGGGAATTTTATAGTGATTTATTTATAGATTATTTATAGTGAGCGACTTGTTCTATTTCGCACTCCTATTGTTGTTTTTGCATTGTGTGCCGTCGCAACTCGCTCACCCGCCCCAAACTGGACATCTGTTCAAAAACGAAGCTTCACAACTCAGCGGAATTCTTCCTGCAGCCTGAATGAAGACTCTCATCCGGATCGTGACGAGCGCGGACCCGCAGTTCGGCCGCCTTGCCAACAGGGACCTCTCACGAGCCGCCTCCGGTGGCCACCGTGGGCTCCAGCGGGCCGGCGGCCGCAATCCCCGACCCGGCAAACTCGGGCGGGACCTACGACGGCCTCGCCGTGTCGGCCGCTCTCGTCGGGGGGAGGGGCGACGACGGGCAGACTCACCTATCCCGCTGTGCAGACGTCCCTCGTGTTGCAGGCCGAGCCCCGCCATCATGTCGGCGATGCCCTTGGCGTAGCGGCCGGCGGAGGCGGCGTACACCTGCCAGACGACGCGTGCCGGGGGGGGGGGGGGGGGCGTGTGGGGGGGGGGGGAAACGCCACTTAGGCACGGCCCTAATTCAAAACGAGCGGATCAGGGTACATTACAGACGAAATTTCTTTGCGGCTGAGAAAACCCTCCAATCCATTTCTCCCCCTGCTGCTTGTTTGAATTGCTTCGGGGCAGATTTTTATAAAATTCAAGCGGGCGGATAATAGGCTTAGCAAGCGCATAACGTGAATTGCACCGATGTAGAGCGTGCATCTCACGCTCTGACCCCGAGACAAAAAAATCGACCGCTGGATGCGAGGTGAGGGTGCGTGTGTGTGTGTGTGCGTGCGCATTGTGTCGATGTGTACGTGCGCACGTGGCGGTGTGCATCTGTGCACGGGTGCGTAATTGCGTGCGTGCGCATTGTGTGCGAGCATGCATTATGCGCGCACGATTGTGTTTGTGTGTGCGCACGCATGTATTGTGTTGATGTGGGAAGCAGTAGCGTAGCAGTCAGCGCGCTGCGCTACGTACTCAGCGTCCCGATTCCCACTCACGGCCAACAACGGCGATGAATATCTGAACCGGCCCTGAACCGAGTAAAATGCGGAAAGTGAAGCGAGTTGCTGGCGGGTCGACCGCCGTTTCGTCGCAGACACCGACCCCCCCCCCAACCGCCGCTCGGCACTCTGGGAGGGAATTGTTTTTGCGTGGGCCGCGACGTCTCCTGACACCGCCGCTCGATGGCCGCGGACAGCCCAAGCCGCGCCGAAGCATCACGGAGCCTTTCGCAATATTGTGACACCGCCCGCGTCTCACGGCACACTCCAAACACCGGCCCGCGCTCCCCGCCCTCTTGACGTCCCCGTGGTGTTGTGTCACATCTAGCCGTCTCGCCTCCACGGCCGGTGACTCATCCTCGTTCTCCCTTTTTCTTCTGGAGTTGAAAGCGGCATGGCGAATAAACACCCCTCGCTTAATCTTCTTCTACGGTGCTGCGTGTCGCCGGGGCGAGCAAGTGGCTTCTGGGACGGCAAGATAAGTTCCAAGTTTTCGACGGGGTCGGTTGCACGTCGACTAATTTTGTTTTCTCCAGAACAACCGATGCCTTCACCAAGACGGGCCGCAGCCTCTTGGTCGGAGCAGCGACCGATGAACGGAGAGCGAAGAGCACCGAGCCAAGAAGCAAATCTGTCATTGCATTGATAGTAGCATGATGATGATTTGAAAAATACCGTGATTTAGCCGTCCATCGATCAACATGTCTTGCGGACAATCGTAACCGCCAACCACTCCTTTCAACAGTTCATGAACACTCTCCAAGGTCAGGTTATGCCACCTTAAAATAAATATCTATTATGAGAAGGGCTATGTATTTTTGCCGATTTTTGTTATTTTGCTAATCCTGGACACACCTTCACCAAACCCACTCTGAGCGGTGTGAAGTATGGTCACACAATCGCCACGACCTGGCACGGCATGGGGAGGGGAGGAAGAGCAGACCTTCATCCAGTAGTCGATTTGACAACGGGCTGTAAAATGAGAGGAATGCTAATCCCTGGCGTTGCCTTCTGGTTTGCTCTCGAGCCCGTAAGTGGAATGACATCTCCCGCCGATGCATCTGCAGCCACCACGGCGGCGGGGCGATTATTTCTCCTAAAAATTAATTCAGAAACACCCAAACCGCACGCGACCCCTTAATGTTGGCAACGTTCGCAGGCGCGCGCAACTTTTGCTCCACGGCCCCTCGCAACAACAACAACAAAAAAATTCCCACCACTCCCGGCAGCGCGTTTCGTTTTTCAAAAAATCCGCTCGGCAGATGTGTTCACGCACGGCGGCAGAAGCGGGCATATGCATCATTAACGCGTGCAATCTGCTCCAGATGCATTCCTCAGTCATCATAATAATAAAAAAGCTGGCAAATCAAAGCAAAACTTGTTTGCAAACGTGCGCACCGTAAACAAAGACCCCTGCTCGCTCGCTCGCCACCCGCCAGCCCTCGCCGCCCCCGCAAGCTGCCGCTTGGCCCGGCCGGCTTGGCCCTCGGAGAGAGAGGGGGGGGGGGCCAGGTGGCACCAATATCAGTCGGCTCGTTAAAGGGGACCCCTGCCCCCCTCCCTACCCCACCGCTCGCGGCCGGACAGCGACGACAAAAGCTTCCGCCTTTGGAGCGTCGAGAAGCCCATTTCCGATTCTGCACGGCTGTCTAAGTTCGCCGTCCCCGGGGGAGGGAACCTTTTAACACGGCGGTCAGCCTGGCGTGTCCAATGTTTATTAAAGGTGGTTAAAGCGGTTTACTGTATGCAGGCTCCACGCCCGCACACGCCGAGGGTCGGGGGGGGAGGGCCGCCAGGGAGCCCGGCACCCGCGCCCATTATCCATCACCCCCAGCGCCGCCTGGCCCAGCGCCGTCATCTCCTCATCAGTGCCAGCGCCACGGCCAGCCCGCCTGGCACGCCCGGGCTGCCCGGTAAGTGTGCGGCCCAGACGCCCGATGATTACCACACCCACTACCCCGGCCACAACCATCATTCCAGCCACAACCATCACCTCAGCCACAACCATCATCCCAGCCACAACACATCACCGCCACAACCATTGCAACTACACCGTGCCCTCTCCACAGCCACTGCCGGTCCAGCGACCGCGTCAGGACACCCTGGACAAAAAAACCGCACCGGCCACGACCGTTGCCGCAGCCACACCACGGTAGCCTCACCACAGCCACCGCTGAACCACAACACCTCACCACGCCACCGCCCATCTTTGTGGACTGGACCCGCGATTAATTTATTTGTTTATCCATCAAGCAGCAGAATGGGAATTACGCGATCAACCACGAGGGGCCATTTCAGATTGGATATTCAGCAAGTGCAATTACAATAACAGCGATGGGTATACGAATTAAGTGGGGGGCCCACAGTGTCAGTGAGGCGGGGTGGGGGGGCCGCTGAGGAGCAAGACGCTGTGACACGAGGATGTGTCAGGGAGAAGGGGGGGGCGTGTTTGTGGCCACGGGGGGACGGTGGGATGAGCCCCTCCCCTCCCCCCATGCCAACACCCGTGCCCTACACTCCCCCCCCCCTCGCTCGATGCCACCGTGCCCTGCGGTCGCGTGTTCGGTTTGAACGTCTCGGTTTCCCCGGTAATAACAAGCACAATAAGCATGTAGGTTATGGGCCTCAAACTGTGGTATTTTCAAACTGCCGCCGCGGCCGGAGGCAGCATAACGATGCCGCGTTGTTTACAACAGAAATAAACGAATTCGGTGAAGGAAAATGTCGAAACTTTTACAAAGACACCTGAGAGTGAGAGAGAGAACGAGAGCGAGCGAGAGAGAGAGAGCGAGAGAGAGCGAGAGAGAGTGAGAGAGAGAGAGCGAGAGAGAGCGAGAGAGAGCGAGAGAGAGCGAGAGAGAGAGAGCGAGAGAGAGAGCACCGACGCGGACGCACAAAGCCCACTCGGAGGCACTCGGAGGCGCTCGGGATAAACGCACGCGCAGACACGCGCGCAACACACCGCCGCCACGTTCACAGTTGGGCGACTCTGGCGAGGGCCGAGCGGATGATGGATAACAAAGAACGGATTTCTCCTGCACCTCTAAGCTCACTCATGTGCCTCCCGCGTGCCGGGTGGATGGATGGATTGGGATGGGATTTGGGAACAAGCGAGCTGTTTTTTTCCCCTCTCCCTCCCTCCCTCCCTCCTCCCTCCGCGATTGCCTTCGGCCCTCGTATCTAAGGGCAAAATCCCCAAACCACGCACAGCTCCCTTCTGCCACGGCCGCCCCGACACAAGCGGGCATCAATATGGATCGATGGGGCCGGCGACCCGAGCCTTTGACCCCTGCCCAGGCCCTTGTGACGGATTTCTGTTTGACGTGACCGGAGAGAAAGGGCCGGGGGTGTGTGGCGGCGGCACAATGCCGCTAATCGGCAGGGCAAAGCTAATCGCGCAGCTGATAAATGATGGGCGCGTCAGGCGCGTTTTTAAATGCGCGCGATCGACGCGGGCGCCCTGTCACACTCTCCCATCCCCCCGCACGGGGCGACCGGAGCGGGCGTCGCTGTGAAGTTGTGCGTATGTACGTTGAACTTCTTTCGCACCGTACATAGACATCCGTGCTAATCGGAGGTTAGCACTGTCCGTGGCAACACGGGGACACGAGACGCTCGCCGTGTTGCCCTTCTTGCCCTTCCGGTGCCCGCCTCGACACCCGCCAACGAGTTTCGCCCCCCCGCCCCCCCACCCCTTGACCCGGTGCCTTCCACGGGGCCGGTGTGCAGATCGCTCACAACGATGGCGATGCCACCTCGACACCCACGGCACGCCGGGATTCCAGTTTTGTTTCGACGTTGAAAGCGATGCCTTTTGGTTCGCGAGTTACCGTTGGTTTCAGGCCCGCACGTATTCGTCTTCGTGGCTGTGCATTTGCCACTTTGGCTCGGGGCGGATTTTGTGGTGAATGTCTCGTTAGTGTTGTGTTTTTCACGGCCTGATGTGTAGCGGCTGAGCACGTCAATGTTGAGGCAGAGGCGAGGTCAGGGTGGCATTTACTTGCGCGTGCAGCACACCACAACCAGAGATCATCCACGATTCAAAAACTAAATAAAAACAATATTTTACAGCTCATTCCTGGAAGAATGGTACCCCCAAACTATGTTGGTAAGGGGTTTGTTGGACCATACTTCACCACGCTGGTGATTAGTGTGCCTCGACATAATTCGCCGCCGACGCTAGCTGTGGCTGGTCGCTGGGCTCCGAGCACAGTGCGCTATCCGCTGCGCCACCACTCCATCTCAGTTTGGAAATTTAACGTGAACAATTTACGGACCCACCACTTGTACGGTTGCCTTCACAACGGCTAACGCCGTGACATTTGCTGCCGGTGTAGCCAGAGCCGCGCTCCACCGTGATAATCACTCGGCTCACGAGTCGATTAGGCCCAACGTTACTCGCAGCAGACTGCTACGGAATCAAGGAGCCTAACAGCAGATGAAAGCGGACGCGTTCTCAACACCGCGGGATTCGACGGCTTTTTAAAGAAGCTCGTGGGCCCGTGCCTGCGCGCGGTTGGGTCGAGGCGCGCTCCTCGCGCCGAGCGGAATCTTTCTGCGTCGAGGAGCGTGCGGTGGGCGGCCCCGACGACCGCGAGCCGTTGCCGTACGCGCACACACACACGCGCGCTTTGTGACGCAACACCGGCTGCTTGAGAATGAAGAACAATAACCCCCGGCACGATCCGCACGCCGGACTGCCCGCCGATCGCCAGTGAACGCGACTCGCGACAATGCCGCTCCCGCCGCCGTGTCCGGCGTTCATTTGAGGCACGGCGGGGAAAAGGGCGGCTCGCGCCAACGCTTCGGATTGCAACGTCGGCGTTGTCACGCCCCTAGCCGGCAAAGCCCCAATAAAGAAAGTGTTTAGTTAAAAAATAAAACCGCACCAAACACATATTACAAAGATCCCCCGTATACCCTTTAACAGACTTTTGGGGCAAGTGCGGTTAAGCGAGCACCTACGAAGGCCGGCACGGCACACGAGGGGGCGGGTAGCCAGCACCACGCCCGGTCGCCTTTGTCTCCCCGATACTGATGTTAATAAACTGAGGCAGGTCCTCATTGGAGGCTTGGCCAACCTAGGGGAGGAACAGGACCCGTTCAGATACCGGTCAACGCCGTTGTCCGCAGGCAGGAATCAAACTCGCCGGGTTCATAGCGCAGCTCGCTAACCACTACGCCACCACTTTCCACGCCTGTACACACACACACAAAGACACGCACGCGCGCGCGCAAGCAAAAGGCGTGAATACGTGAATGTCGCGGGGCGACACGCCGGCCGCCCGTGCGAGGACGAGAGAGCGCCGGCGACGCTGGCAGGGCGTTAAGCTGGACGCCGCGACACCGAGCGCCCTTAATTGTCGTTCTCTCGTTCGCTCGTACCTTCTTAATGTTGATCCACGAGCGGTAGCAGTCCCTCGGCTGCAGATTTAAGTGGCTGCATTGTCCCGGCAGCCTGGATAATCCGGCCGACAAGAGATTGAAAGAGAGAGCGAGAATAATAAAAAAATTAAATTCAGAGCGGCGTTAGATGTTTAAACTCCCCCGTTAGAACGCGTCCAAATCAAAGTAACTGCACTAAGCTGCAAATGATATGTTTGCAAATAGCCCAGCACTCTGGCGTGTTATTAACCATAAACCAATTTGGAACGATAATATAAAAAAACACACAAGATGCAAAAGTGCTTAGTGTCCAGGTGCGATGAGGCAGTATTTATTTTATGACCTTTAAATTATGTTGCATTAAAAAAATAACAAGTACATTAGCAAAAGCCACAGTGCTTAAAAATGGTGTAATTATGCGGCATTCCTTAACCTCTATTTAGCTTAATTTACAGCCTGCTCCAGGAGGCCCGCTCTTTATAGCTCTGCTTAATAAACTATCGTGTCTCTTATTTATCCGCGTTGCTTCATCAATTTACAGCCGCATTTGATCAATTATTAATGGCGATGAGCGGAACATTAGCTGTGCCCTCAGCCTAGGTCACCTGTCTGCCCCCCCCCGCCCGCGCCCCCTCCTGTCCTGCGCCTTCCCCCCTTCCACCACCGAGTTCCCGAAAACAAACGGAGCCATTACGAGGAGCGTTCTTTAATCTGCGGCGAATAAATATTTAAAAAAATAGACGTGTCCACGCTCGACGGCGTAAAGAACTCGCCGGCGAGGTCTGCGACGGCCGTTTGCCGGGCCGTGCCGCGATCGCTCCTCCTCCTGCGCGGAGGCGGTGGCAGGTGCCGCGCTGCTACGGGAAGCGGCGATGGCGCCGCGGTCAGCGTGCGGCGGAGGGGGCATTGCCGTGATTGTCCCTAACGCTCGGCGCATACGATGGGCGCGCGCCTTGCCCGGCAGGGGACAACCACGCGCACGCGCGGCACTGATGATGGCGAGAAAGAGAGAATTCTGGTGTTGCCGTGGACGGCGGTGATGAAGGTGGTGATGAAATGGGAATGGTTTCGTTGCAATTAATGCCGGTGATGGTGATGACGATGATATTTGATGATGAGATTTATTGAAATGGCGACAGATTATGACGATGATAATGGTAAAAAGAGAATTGTTGCAATTGCTGTAACTGATGATAATGGTGACGATGATGATGATGACGAAGAAGGTGCTATGGCAATGAACTGCAACGATTCACTGTGACAATTTCTCTTTACTTTCCAACAAAAGACTTCGGACATCAGTCAGGAAAAAAACTCCCAGCTCCTTCCATATCATATCTAATCTCCAGGTCCCTATTTAATTTTCTGTTTTCTATATCGGATTTCGAGTAATGTAACCCTTTTCCCACTCTCACTTCTATTAATTCCAGGAGTACCGCGGTTCACGGCTTCCGTGTTGGAGTGCTTGCGACGCGCCACAAAAACAATTTACTTTACGGGATTGCTTTCCCTTCCCCGACACAAAAGGAAGCCCGGGTTTCGCTCTGGACCGAGAGCGGATTTCTGAATTTCTGCGTTAACCCCTTATGAAACGCACTGACCCGTCCGGCTGAAAAAGGGGCAGGAAATGGACACCGTAATGCGGCGAGGTGGCGCCCACAAAGGCCGCGCAGATTAAAAGTGGCATTACGCCTGTTGGATTTGGACGGCCGCGGCGAGAGAGAGCGAGCGCGTGCGCGCGCGCTCGCGAAACGTTATCACGCGGCTTCGCCATTGTGGGCCCGAGCGTTCCACTGGCTGCCCGCTAACAGGGACCGCGCGGCCCCATCGCCGGGGGCTAAGCCGATTTTCATTTGCGCCGGTTTCAATTTATTAAACCCCCTCCTCCCACCGCCGCCACCGCCCGCGTGCTCCGTCGCGCGCACACACGACGCGCCGAGACGGGGGCATCGTCGGGGAGGAGGAGAGCGAGCCGGGATCCACCGGGGCATGAAAGTGCCCGACTTAAGATCCTAACACGTGTGCAATGAGATCAGACGGCTGGCAGCGATCTACCGCTGCCTGGGCCGTCGGCCGTGCGAGACCACAAAACGCCTCTCAGCCGCGCTTCGCCGCGCCCGCCACGCCGCCCGCTGCGCCGTCCGTCCGTCCGTCCGGACGGACGGACGGACGGCGGGGGGGGAAAATGTTCATCTTAATCCGGCTCTCCCCGCCGCCAACCGCGCCGCTGACGGCTTAACAGATGGCAAAGCGGCACTGCCGCGACTTGAGGGGCACCGAGAGCTCCCGCCGGGCGCACGTGGCCCCCCCCCCCCCCACAGCCCTGTCCCCGGCGCACGGCGATGGCCCGGCACCGGCCGTGACGGCGTTATTACGGTTAATGCCACCGCATGTTCATTTCGAAAGGGAATTAATATGAGCCCCATGCAGCGACGGGGCTCACTAAAGGTTATTTCAAGCTGAAAGGAACGGGTTTGTGAATTTTATCTTACGACATAGCGCTAATTCCTAAAAGTCTGCACACCTCACAGCGTGTTTGTAGGGAATATGATGACGCAAAGATGCACGCACACACAATCTCACCTACAAAGACAAAGATCCCTCGTATAGCCTTAACACACTGTTGGGCCAAGTGCTGATAGCGAGCACCTACGAAGGCCGGCACGGCACACGATGGGGTGGGTGGCCAGCACCACGCCCGGCCACCTTTGTCTTCCCATTGCTGATGTTTTCCATTTGCACCAGGTGCTCAATTAAGACTGAATCGGCTTAGGGGAGGCATAGCCTGGATTCAGATATGTCGCCGATGTTGGCCGTGAGCGGGAATCGAACTCTGGCTGCGGGTTGGTAACGCGATGCATTAACCACTACTCTACGGCTCGCCACAACTCAACACACACACACACACGTATACTCACACAATGTCATTAACACCCTCTTCCACACCGCCTCCAAGTAAACAAAATGACTCATACACACACACACACTCTCTCGAAAACACCACACTTACACCCTCCCGTCGCTCTCTCTCCTCCCGTCTCTCTCTCCTGGCTCTCTCCTGGCTCTCTCCTGGCTCTCTATCGTGCTATCTCTCCTGGCTCTCTCTCTCCTCCTCGCTCTCGTAAGGTGTGCGAGCCTCATGGCGAGCGGCTGTTATTCGCGAGCGCTAAGTGACAAAGGCCGCCGCCTCGTCACGACGGTACGGGGACGAGCGCGCGGGGACCCGGCCCGGTCCCCGGTAACCCCGCCCCCCCCCTCCCAACCTCCCCCCTCCCGGCCCCCCCACAGAGACACTCATTGTGCCCAGAATTAAACCAAGCAGAGCGGAACAACAAGACCACCCCCCCGCGCCCCCCCCCCCCCTCTCCCGCCACTGCGGCGAACACGGTCGAGGTCCCCGGGAGATCCCGATTAAAGGATCCCCGTCTACCCGACGCACACCCTCCTTGTCTGTTTACATACTCTGGGCGATTACCGCGCCAAGCCCATTGCAATGTTTCTTTAACGATCGTTTTACTATGGAACGGTAGGGGTTGTTTTATTACCTTTTAAAAAAAGAATTGCAATTTGTCCGCGCGGATTTTTCGCGAACCGGGAATGTATTTAAGCTTCGTGTTTATTCGTGTCTGCGAAAACTACGCGATCTTGCTTTCTGTAACGACGACGTGTTTCTGTGGGGGGTTTGGGCTCCGTTGGTGCCGTGAGTTGTTTTGTTCTCTCGCTCTCTCGACTTCTCCGTGAACCAGCTCGCCGCCCCCCCCCCCTGCCAGCGAGGGTCTCAAGGCCTCCCGGGGTGCTCGCCTGGTCAAACAAAATCAACTTGAAAAACCTGCGGTGGCAACCACCAAAACTGATTTCTACTGATCCACTAAAAGAGAAACAAAATCAATTGGCAGATAATTCACCTCCACCTCGAACACACACGCATTGTTGCACACATCCCATCAGCCACGCCGCCTTCCGGCACTGCATATAATCAGCAGCATTGATTCGGTACACGCGAACCCTGCGCCGGTGCATCAACATCCAGTGTCTCATTAGCAGTGACGCCTGCCCAAACCAACACACGGCATAAGCGTCGAGGAATACAAGTCGTGGGCCGTGTCACTTTTTAGTCTGCACGGCGACGCTAACGGTCGCTGAGAAGAGTGGGGGTCTTGGGTCGGACGCGTCACTCGAAAAACACTGCCCAGGGGCCGTTTACTTGAATTGCACTTCCCACCTTGGACCACGCTGCCGCCGCCGCCGCACAAATTGTCCGTTCGCTCGCGCAGAGAGACAACGACCCGGGGGCACGAGGAGGAAGCCACAGACGAGGGGGGAGCACAGACGAGGGGGGAGCCACAGACGAGGGGGGAGCCACAGACGAGGGGGGAGCCACAGACGAGGGGGAGCCACAGACGAGGGGGGAGCCACAGACGAGGGGGGAGCACAGACGAGGGGGGAGCCACAGACGAGGGGGGAGCACAGACGAGGAGGGAGCCACAGACGAGGGGGAGCACAGACGAGGGGGAGCCACAGACGAGGGGGGAGCCACAGACGAGGGGGGAGCCACAGACGAGGGGAGAGCCACAGACGAGGGGGGAGCCACAGACGAGGGGGGAGCCACAGACGAGGAGGGAGCCACAGACGAGGGGGGAGCCACAGACGAGGGGGGAGCCACAGACGAGGGGGGAGCCACAGATGAGGGGAGAGCCACAGACGAGGGGGGAGCCACAGACGAGGGGGGAGCCACAGACGAGGAGGGAGCCACAGACGAGGGGGGAGCCACAGACGAGGGGGGAGCCACAGACGAGGGGGGAGCCACAGACGAGGGGGGAGCCACAGACGAGTGGCAAGACAGCAGCTAGGCGGTGAGCCGGTGCCAAATTCCGCCCCCCCCCCCGCAAAGCTCTGTGGTCCTCTATATATTAAGGTGTTTTGGGCCAATGAATGAGTGTTTACATGTGGAAGGAAGCAAGAGCGCCAAGAGAAAACCCACATTTGCCAGGGGGGGGGGGGCGGAGGGCGGGGTTAGGTACTCTATCCCATACAGATGGAACAGGTGGAGTCTCCACATTTTGCTGTACTGGCTTCTCCTGGGAAGAAGGGGAGTTTCACAACAACATCCGTGCCGTGGTCCACCAACCCTCGCTGCTGCTTCCACAGCGCTGGATCACAGCAGCGACGTGCAGCAGCAGCAGCGACGTGCAGCAGCAGCAGCAACATCAGCAACAGCAGCAGCAGCAACAGCAGCAGCAGCAGCATCAGCAACAGCAGCAGCAGCATCAGCAGCAGCAGCAGCAGCATCAGCAGCAGCGTAGCTACCACCGGCGCCCGGCACCAATAACACAGAGAAGGGGTCCCCCCCCCCCTCCCGTCGCTCACATCACTTTGAGGTCCCAGTCGCCACAGGTGACGAACACGGACTTTGTCTCGGGATCCAGGAGGCCCTCCTTCTCCATCCATTCGTCCACCATCTGCAACGGGCGACCGATAGTATAATTATTAATTTACTGCACGGCCAACGGAGTCCCGCGACTCGCACGCGTCACGAGCGTAAAAGAAAAAAAAAACAACCCCGATTTTAATTGGCGAATGGAATGATCGTTACAGCCTCGTGGGGGGAGAGGAGGGAGGAGAAACAAAAGAGCTCGACAGAGCGCAAGAGAGTGGGAGAGAGAGCGGGAGAGAGAGAGCAGGGAAGAGAGAGTAGGAGAGAGGGGTACAGAGAGAGGGGGGGCAGAGAGGGGGGTAGATAGAGAAGGAAGGGGTAAGGAGAGCAGAGCGAAAAATATTGTGTTCAATATTTCATTTAAAAAGGGGGGGGGGGGGTTACGTAAAGCAAAGCATTAAAAAAGAAAAACGAAATGATGAACGAAGCAAAGTGCCGAATACACCGAGCATCTTCTTGTTTCCTCTGATTGTAAAGAAGGAAAGAGAGAGCAGGAGAGAGATAGAGAGAGCAGGAGTGGGTATGTGGGGAGGCAAGAGAGCAAAGCGTGAGGGTGAGTGTGCTGGGGCAGCTCCTCCTGCTGGCGCTGTGGAGCGGTGCAGTGTGGAAGGGTGAGGAGCGGTGCAGTGTGGAGGGTGAGGAGTGGTGCAGTGTGGAAGGTGAGGAGGGGTGCAGTGTGGAGGGTGAGGAGCGGTGCAGTGTGGAGGGTGAGGAGTGGTGCAGTGTGGAGGGTGAGGAGCGGTGCAGTGTGGAGGGTGAATAGCGGTGCAGTGTGGAGGGTGAGGAGCGGTGCAGTGTGGAGGGTGAGGAGCGGTGCAGTGTGGAGGGTGAGGAGCGGTGCAGTGTGGAGGGTGAGGAGGGGTGCAGTGTGGAGGGTGAGGAGGGGTGCAGTGTGGAGGGTGAGGAGGGGTGCAGTGTGGAGGGTGAGGAGCGGTGCAGTGTGGAGGGTGAGGAGCGGTGCAGTGTGGAGGGTGAGGAGGGGTGCAGTGTGGAGGGTGAGGAGGGGTGCAGTGTGGAGGGTGAGGAGCGGTGCAGTGTGGAGGGTGAGGAGGGGTGCAGTGTGGAGGGTGAGGAGCAGTGCAGTGTGGAGGGGTGAGGAGGGGTGCAGTGTGGAGGGTGAGGAGGGGTGCAGTGTGGAGGGTGAGGAGGGGTGCAGTGTGGAGGGTGAGGAGGGGTGCAGTGTGGAGGGTGAGGAGCGGTGCAGTGTGGAGGGTGAGGAGGGGTGCAGTGTGGAGGGTGAGGAGGGGTGCAGTGTGGAGGGTGAGGAGCGGTGCAGTGTGGAGGGTGAGGAGCAGTGCAGTGTGGAGGGTGAGGAGCGGTGCAGTGTGGAGGGTGAGGAGGGGTGCAGTGTGGAGGGTGAGGAGCGGTGCAGTGTGGAGGGGTGAGGAGGGGTGCAGTGTGGAGGGTGAGGAGTGGTGCAGTGTGGAGGGTGAGGAGGGGTGCAGTGTGGAGGGTGAGGAGGGGTGCAGTGTGGAGGGTGAGGAGGGGTGCAGTGTGGAGGGTGAGGAGCGGTGCAGTGTGGAGGGTGAGGAGGGGTGCAGTGTGGAGGGTGAGGAGCGGTGCAGTGTGGAGGGTGAGGAGCGGTGCAGTGTGGAGGGTGAGGAGGGGTGCAGTGTGGAGGGTGAGGAGGGGTGCAGTGTGGAGGGTGAGGAGCGGTGCAGTGTGGAGGGTGAGGAGGGGTGCAGTGTGGAGGGTGAGGAGGGGTGCAGTGTGGAGGGTGAGGAGCGGTGCAGTGTGGAGGGTGAGGAGGGGTGCAGTGTGGAGGGTGAGGAGCGGTGCAGTGTGGAGGGTGAGGAGGGGTGCAGTGTGGAGGGGTGAGGAGCGGTGCAGTGTGGAGGGTGAGGAGCGGTGCAGTGTGGAGGGTGAGGAGTGGTGCAGTGTGGAGGGTGAGGAGGGGTGCAGTGTGGAGGGTGAGGAGCGGTGCAGTGTGGAGGGTGAGGAGGGGTGCAGTGTGGAGGGTGAGGAGCGGTACAGTGTGGAGGGTGAGGAGGGGTGCAGTGTGGAGGGTGAGGAGGGGTGCAGTGTGGAGGGTGAGGAGCGGTGCAGTGTGGAGGGGTGAGGAGCGGTGCAGTGTGGAGGGGTGAGGAGCGGTGCAGTGTGGAGGGTGAGGAGGGGTGCAGTGTGGAGGGGTGCAGTGTGGAGGGTGTGGAGGGGTGCAGTGTGGAGGGGTGCAGTGTGGAGGGTGTGGAGGGGTGCAGTGTGGAGGGTGAGGAGGGGTGCAGTGTGGAGGGTGTGGAGGGGTGCAGTGTGGAGGGGTGAGGAGCGGTGCAGTGTGGAGGGGTGAGGAGCGGTGCAGCGTGGAGGGTGTGGAGGGGTGCAGTGTGGAGGGGTGCAGCGTGGAGGGGTGAGGAGCGGTGCAGCGTGGAGGGTGTGGAGGGGTGCAGTGTGGAGGGTGAGGAGGGGTGCAGCGTGGAGGGGTGAGGAGCGGTGCAGTGTGGAGGGTGAGGAGCGGTGCAGTGTGGAGGGGTGAGGAGCGGTGCAGCGTGGAGGGTGTGGAGGGGTGCAGTGTGGAGGGGTGCAGCGTGGAGGGGTGAGGAGCGGTGCAGTGAGGAGGGGTGCAGTGTGGAGGGGTGCAGTGTGGAGGGGTGCAGCGTGGAGGGGTGAGGAGCGGTGCAGTGAGGAGGGGTGCAGTGTGGAGGGGTGCAGCGTGGAGGGGTGAGGAGCGGTGCAGTGAGGAGGGGTGCAGTGAGGAGGGGTGCAGTGTGGAGGGGTGAGGAGCGGTGCAGTGAGGAGGGGTGCAGTGAGGAGGGGTGCAGTGTGGAGGGGTGCAGTGTGGAGGGGTGCAGTGTGGAGGGGTGCAGTGTGGGGGGTGCAGTGTGGAGGGGTGCAGTGAGGAGGGGTGCAGTGTGGAGGGGTGAGGAGCGGTGCAGTGAGGAGGGGTGCAGTGAGGAGGGGTGCAGTGTGGGGGGTGCAGTGTGGAGGGGTGCAGTGTGGAGGGGTGCAGTGTGGAGGGGTGCAGTGTGGAGGGGTGCAGTGAGGAGGGGTGCAGTGTGGAGGGGTGCAGTGTGGAGGGGTGCAGTGTGGAGGGGCGCAGTGTGGAGGGGTGCAGTGTGGGGGGGGCAGTGAGGAGGGGTGCAGTGAGGAGGGGTGCAGTGTGGAGGGGTGCAGTGTGGAGGGGTGCAGTGTGGAGGGGTGCAGTGTGGGGGGTGCAGTGTGGAGGGGTGCAGTGTGGGGGGTGCAGTGTGGAGGGGTGCAGTGAGGAGGGGTGCAGTGTGGAGGGGTGAGGAGCGGTGCAGTGAGGAGGGGTGCAGTGAGGAGGGGTGCAGTGTGGGGGGTGCAGTGTGGAGGGGTGCAGTGAGGAGGGGTGCAGTGTGGGGGGTGCAGTGTGGAGGGGTGCAGTGTGGAGGGGTGCAGTGAGGAGGGGTGCAGTGTGGGGGGTGCAGTGTGGAGGGGTGCAGTGTGGAGGGGTGCAGTGAGGAGGGGTGCAGTGTGGGGGGTGCAGTGTGGGGGGTGCAGTGTGGAGGGGTGCAGTGAGGAGGGGTGCAGTGTGGGGGGTGCAGTGTGGAGGGGTGCAGTGTGGAGGGGTGCAGTGTGGAGGGGTGCAGTGTGGAGGGGTGCAGTGTGGGGGGTGCAGTGAGGAGGGGTGCAGTGTGGAGGGGTGCAGTGTGGAGGGGTGAGGAGCGGTGCAGGGTGGACGGGTGAGGAGGGGAGGAGGGTGGACGTGTGGCCCTGGCGGTGACGCGTGTGGCGCTGTCCGTGGTGCTGGTGCCCGCGTGTGCCCGTCCCCCACGCTCCCCGCTGTTCCAGGCCTCCTTATTTATCGTTGCGACGCCTCTGCCTTTGAATCACTGAACGGTTTCTCAGAGGGTCATTTTAATTCATTTGATTTTTTCTCCACCCCCCCACCCCCAATCGTCCACCAGTCCCCCCCCCCAAACCCCCCTCCCCCCAACCCCCACGCGCAGTTAATTGAATGATTGATAAGTTCTCAGCGCGGAGAGCTTTGCGCCCATCCGTCACGCCAGACGTGGGCACTCGGAGAAGCCAGGTCTGGGCTCATTTGCTTAATCAAAGTGTGGTTTAATTAATCTCCCGTGCACGCCGCATCGCCGCGCTCCGCCGGCGGGCCGCTCGTGCTCACGGCGGGGTAATAACCCGGGGCCCGCCGCCAGTGCCGACGCAGTTGCGGCAACGGCCCCAATTAATCTATTACCACTGGGTGAGATGGGAAACGTGCCGGGGGGGGGGGGGGGGGGAGGGGGGCTGCTGCTGCTGCTGCTTTATTACTCCTTTTATTGTTATTATTTATAATTTAGGAATGCCGAGCTGTAAATGGGAACGGGGGGAGGCCATCAACGGGGGCGTCGGGAGCGCCGGAGACCACGCTGCTTGGGCGACGCGACGAGAGGGGACCGTGTGTGCCGACGCGCCGCTGAATCGGGGACACGCGCGGCGGGCGGCGGATCTCCGTTGCGCGACCCTGACCGCCGACCTGACCTTTGCGCCGGGGAGATTCCACTGCCCTCGTCATCTTAACGGAACAAATGTCGCGAAAGTCGGGGAGAAGACGCCAGAGGGAGGGCCTCGAGTTCAACACCAAGTCGGGTCTTCAGAGCGCATAAATGCTGCCTTGCCCTAGCCGCCTGTGCTGTTGACTCCCTGCTCCAGGTTCAAGAGTGTCCTTTTCTCCAACTGACGGCTGTCTCGATCGACCACAGGCGTCAAAAGCAGGAGACTAAAAATCCAAACGGACCTCTCGCAGAGCAGCGAGTCCCTTTGTTTTGTAGAACGGCCATGGTAGAAGAGAACACAGAGATACCTCCGAGATCCTTTCAAGTGACCACACGGTAGGGGGTTTGCAATCTCCCTCCTGCCACTCGGCGTAATGCACGTCACACGACAGTGAAACCAATATTTTAAATCTCGGGCCAAGAATTTAGCCGTATTAGGTGCAAAACCAAGTAAAATGTTACTGGGGGTTTTTTTGGTTAAATTATTTGTGACCGGGCCAAGACCATCCACTCACTGCACATGAGAACCCAAATTTACTCAAGAGCAGCCACTGAAACCCAAATTCGAACTCAGGATCCTCAGCGTCCATGACCTCCGAGCCACCCGGCGGCGGCCTCTCACAGAAACCCGACTCGACAGACGGACAGGGAGGGAGACGTTGACGGACAGAGTGAGGTTTCCGCACACGAGACAGCCGTGGCAGGTCTATCTCGTCCCCGTCGCAGCGGCGCGGTTACCTGTAGCACCTGGTCGAGCGTGGGGCGCCCATCCACCATGTCCTGAACGATCCCTGTGAGCTGCGGCGATCAATAGCCGGGGACAAAGCCATTACCGCCACCAATTCCGCCGCTACAACCACCACATAATTTCAGCAGATTCCCAAAGTCGGTATCTAAAAGGAATCGATGCATCACAACGACAGTGTTTATTGATATGTCGTAAATATGTGGTCGATTCCGTTGCATGTTATTATTACGCGGTTATAAAATTGGCCATGATAGATGAATGAAAAACATTACCTGCGTAAAAAAAAAAAAGAGAGAAACTGCCGTCCAGAAAAATTACCCTCCCACTTCTAACGCCTCTTCACCCCGAAACATCTAACAAATAATATCTCGGCGTCGGCATAATTTTTGTGGCGAATAACGCACGCGCATCTTACAACACGTGCGCTTCCCCCCCCCCACCCCCCTTTTAATAAAACATTCAAATCTCTGCATAATTTATCCTGGGTAAATTACGCTTCGTGTCCGATGTAAATTCCCTCTCCCTCCTCCCACGCCGCACTCACTACAACAAAGCGTCCGAGACACAAACTGCTCTCAATAACAATGACTCGGGCAGTAACAGTAAAAACAAACCGTGCGGGTTACCGCTGTAGGCTTGCTGCTCTCACAGATAAGCCACGGAAAGGCACGACCTGTTAATTTCCTGCCTGTTGCCCGTTCGACCTGACGCCTGCTGGTACATTTCGGTAATCGATATCCACTCTTTAGTGCCTTGCTGTGTGTACCTTTCGCAGCCCGCGCGGCATAAATCAATCCTCGCTCGCCGCGTCGGCGGCATCGCCGCGCCGGGCCGAGCGCAAACAAAGGCCCAGCTTGCAAATTGGTGCGGCGGCCAGTCCCCGCCACGGCACGCGCTCGCGCGCACTCGCACGCGAGCCAGAGAGCGAGCTTCTAAAGCCGTGCCGCGTTTGTTAAGATTTCAATTAGCACGAAAGGTGCGATGGTGGCGGCGGCGCGACGGTGCCGGGGTTTCTTAATTCGCACACCCACCTCGGTGCAGAAGGCGGAGAGCTGGGGGTGCGCGGTAGGCCGGACGTACGTGTGAAAGGTTGACTCGACTTCCATCGACTTCCCGTTCACTCTCAGGATGGGAAACTCAATGATCTCCTGCGCGGGGAGGGAGACCGTGAACAATACAGCCTTCACGGCGTGAGCGATCGTGCGGGCGCTGGCGCCGGATCAACGCCCGCGCTCGCGAGTGGCGGCGCTCCTGAAAGAAGCGGAGAGGGCGCAGGCCGTCTTGTCGCGCGGCTTGACCGTGCGGGAAAACGGCAACCGCCGGAGGGCCTCCCGATCGGCGCTTCACACCGAAGAACGCTTTCACGTTTAAAAAATAACTGCACGATGGACACCAAGAGCGTTACGGCGATGAGCAATGCACTAAAAATCATCGCGTTAAATCTCTGCTTAAAAAAAAACTCGCACAATGGACGCGCTTTGACCTCTGCCGGTGTGTCACCTCCGAGGTCGACACGCGGAGCCACCAATTATGTTTATTTCTTTTATAATTTAGATTTACTTCTGCTTACCCTGCAACCTGGAATTGATTAAACTTAGCGTTGAATACGTTGCCTGCTGAACAACAATCGATGTGATAATAAACTGTTTATTGCCGTTTTTATTATTACCAGCATCATCATCATCATCGTGGTGGTGGTGGTCGTCGCTTACACGGAATTTGTAAAACGCCTTGCGCGCCAAACACTGCATCTCAGAGCGCTAATTATTGCCGCTACGGCAATTTAATGCAGTCGGGGAAATCTTAAACGGCTCGCGCGAACCAGCCGCGCTGCCGCACACCGCCGACTCCCGTTGGCTCCCCCCCCACCGCCCGCCACGCTCGCCGCTCAAGCCTTGCGCAGCGGTCTAAGTCGCGCGTTTAACGTGAGCTTTGCTCCGCGCGCGGCTCCCATCGACCGACGGGAGCTGTGGCCACTGTTGGCGCACGTCTCTTACGAAAACCAACACTGGAGGTGACTAGGAGCAGTATTAATGCGAAAATTCACATTAAACTTAATGGGCCGTGTTAGCAGTGCTGCATTTGCTCACGTGCACGCACACATAACCATAATCACCATAACATAAACACAGAGAGAGCAGGCTAACCTTTAGGGCAACGTCACTTCCCCAGTGCAGACAGAACGGACAGCGCATATAAAGTTACCCCTCCGCAGAACAGTGTTCTGCCAGAGTGCAACAACTCTATCCCCCCCCCCCCCCCCCCCCGAGACGCACCGAGAGGAGCGGACGGATTCAGGGCGTACGAGCAAACCAGAAACAATCGCACTCATAATGACCGTCGTCAAAAGTCAAGACTCCAATTTAACCGAGGGCGTAATTTCTCACCGAATATTTTCTGGGTTCCTTGGTAAGCCGGTACACGTTAAGTGGCATTTGAGTTGTAGCCACGGCCAAAACGTGAGGTGTACCGGACACGGTGTGCCGGATCCGGGGACATGTATCGGTGCACGCACGGCTGCCGGCGACCTCTGACCTGCGGCCGTGGCGGCGCGGCCTTGTCGCACGTCGCCTCGAAGTCGAGCACCAGGAAGTGGTGGAACCGGTGCACGGAGGGCGACGTCGGCGCGCGGGGGCCCCGGACCCTTGCCGCCTCGACCAGGTCGACCATCGTGGGCCCTCGGTGGACGCTGGCGGATCCCGGCGGAGCCTGCCCGGCACACGCGCGACCACGCTCAGCACCGACCGGCACGCAGCCTCAACCAAAGCGCGAATCATTCCACTGGGCTTGTGAAAATAAAACCCCGAACTGCCGATCCCCCAATAATTAAGGGCGATTCAATTGTCACTGGACGAAGGCCTCCTGATGCTATATCAGTTGGGAGGGGGGGGGGAAATGTTTGACCATACTTCACCACGCTGGTCAGAGCAGATTAGTAAAGCGGGAAGGGGAAGGACCTTCAGTGGCTCCGATATTGGTTGCCACCGACGTTAGCCGTATTGGCCGGGAATCTAACTCGGGTGGCCGAAATCAGAACGCAGTGCGCTGCATCACCGCTCCACCCCGTGCTATACAAATTGAAAATAAGAGATTCTCACAGGCACGATGCAATGCACGCATCGCAAAGCAGGAGAACCGATTTTTTATTTTAAATCGATGAAAGGATCGTGACGTGTGTGTGGTTTCCACGGGGACGAGAGTGTGAGATTTAGTGACCAGCACGCTAACAAACACTCGCGTACGTAGCAGATGTGTAACCAATGTCATGCCGGTCAGGTCGGACAATCAAGACACTACGAGTCTCTATTCTCATGGAGATCTGGGTGATGATAGCGGTACAGCACATGCATTACACAAGGTTATAAACAGCACCTTAATAGACACAAAAAAAACTCTAATATAGTACTTAACATCAACCGAGGTAAAACATTAAGCAGTAAAAAGTAATAAATAGTATTTAGAATACGAGCAATAAGAGTCAAATTCGTATTTATGAAATACATGTTAATGTCACATGCGAGCACCCCTTCACTGTCACGATGTTTCACCCCGTTTTAATTTCTTGCACTTGGCACTCTGCGAGCCGTTACAATTTATCGATTTATTGCGACTCAGGTCTCCTTAAAAAAAACAGACAGACGTACGGCTTCAACAGCCTTCTTATCTGGCCCTCGACAGAGTTTAAATGTACGTCGAATTCCCACTCGTGCAAGACGCAAGCGGACACAGCCACCTCTCGCCCTTCACCCAGTCACGGCCGGCCGTGGAAACCCGGGCGCGTAGACAACGTACGTGTGTATACAACACGCGGTACGATCACCCAACAGCATATGCAACGTACGCGCGTGCCACGTACGTACTCGCACCGTCTAGACCAGGGGTCCCCAACACCCGGGCTGCGGACCGGTAGCGGTCCGTGGTCTGTTAGGAACCGGGCCGCACAGCAGCAGGAGGCGAGAGCGGTGAGTCCGCACGTGGCCCGCCCCCATTGTTTTATTATTCACCACTTCCGTCTGCTCCTCTTTCCCGCACTGCGCACTCGTCTCAGTCACAGTTTTGGTAAGCCCACAGTTTTGGCAAGCCAAAATGAGTAAAAAACAAACGTCGCTGGAGAGCTTCTTCTGAAAATGGAGAAAGACCCAATGATGAACCCCCCCCCCCCTCCCCGGTCCGTGAAAAAATTATCTTCCATGAAACCGATCCCTGGTGCCAGAAAGGTTGGGGACCGCTGGTCTAGACAACGGCAGCTCTAGGGGATGGCAGCGGCGCGGGCGACGGTTGGGAGCGATGGTTGGGAGCAGCGGTTGGGAGCGGCGGAGGAGCGGAAGGCGGCGGCGGAGGAGCGGAAGGCGGCGGCTGCAGCGCAGGGCGAGGGCCAACGGGGGGCGCCAGATCCGGGCAGGAGAAGCCCGCGACGCCGCGGCGACAGTCGATCCGCGCACGGTGCACGGCGCGACACGATCGGGAGGCCACGAATTTTTTTTAACTGAACACAAATAATACGAGGAAAGAAACTCGTTCCAGATGTGTACCGCATTTTCATTTGAGACGCGTTTAGTGTTATATGGTGGCGACTTAACTTTACGCGCGATTGTAGACCAAGCCTGCTGCTGATGATATAAAATGAATGCGTTTGGTTCACGGAAACTTCAGCGTGTGTTCGGGGAAATTTTGCAGCCGCTGTAGGTTTTTTCCTCAACAGATTTTTACATCGATAATGCGTGCTTCAAAAGCACATCGAGTCTCGCGCTGAATTATGATCACAGAATATAAATTATGCGCATGCGGCAATTCCCACCTGTGCCCCAACACGGTTGTCCCGATTCGTCACGATTAAATAAAAAAATCGATTCTTGTTTGGTCTCGTTATTACGGTCTCATTTGTATTGCTCCTTGATCTTTCATGTTACTTTTGAGCAGTTTTGTTTGCTCCACAATTCTGAAACTAACAAATTACTTGCATGACAATTAACATAAATCATCAACAATCAATTTTCACACGCATGGAACGTGAGCACAGTCACAATCGGTTTCAATTAGACGAGTCGATGAACCATTGCTTGCTTAGCAACCAGCATGCCTGTCAACCCATACGGTTTACCCGTATTCTTGTACAGGGTTGTATAAGGGGCACGGGGTGACCAATAAGGTCTGAATTGGTCTGTAACAAGTCGGCACTGATGATAAGGTGTTGGACAGGTATGCAAACCAGTGGCAATTCCCAAAATCTTGGCTAATCATCGCGAGTCGCGCACGAACCACGCGCTCCCGCGCCCCGCGATCTTTTGACCCGAGCGACGATCGCTCCAGCAGGGGCTCTGGGGGACAAACCCACCGTGCGCGCGTGCAACAGTCGGCAGCAGAAGGCGGCGACGGCCCTGGATCGGAAGGCGGCTCCAACCAGCATCAGCGGTGGTGGCAGCGGCGGCGCCTCTTGGCGTCGGCGCGAGTCACAACTGCCAACGACGAAAACGGAGAGCTGAGGATCCTCGCAACGGACTCATCACTCGCTGCTGCCGCACCGGAGCACGGCGTGGATATCTCAAGAGACAAACCGAGAAACTAGCGGCGATGCGCGAGCACGGAGGGAATAAACTCACCGTCGTGGGAGTGAGAAGACGAGAACTGCATTTTACGTGCAAAAGAATTGTCTCCAAAATTGTAGTTTGATATTTACGTTATGTAATTATAATTTTAAATCAGTTCATGGGCACGCTCGTGTTTTTGACTTTCTTAAGCATCGTGTGATACGCGATGTCCACAATAGGGAACCGCTGGCACCGTTTGTCAACTTTTATTAAATGTCCCAGTTTTATGGATGTCCCAGTTTTATCAACGTCACGGTCAGTCTCTCTGCTCTGAAAGAACAGTCGGTGCCCAAAAGGCGAGCCCATCACAGACTCTGGTTGCATACAGATGGCGGTGTTGTGTTTTATCGCCAAAAAAAAATCAACATTTAAATCCATCGATCAATAAACCAGTGGAACACAATCCAGGTATTTGCATAATTAAATATCTAGCAAATGGGATTAGATGTTTATTTATTCATATTTCATCCGGCTGGCGAAACTTTCAACCAGTTTATTTACAGCAACGTACGGCCTGCAAGGCCGGACGTGACCCACAACTTACTTTCACGCAGCCCGTGGCCACACGGGGACCTACCGCCTCAAAATGGGCCACAAACAATATTCATCTGTCGCTGCAAGCATCTTATCAACGATCGGCTACGAGAGAGGGCATATTTTCAACCGGGCGACAACACCAGGTTCAGGTCCCTTTCTGGTCCCTCTTGCAGTGACAGCAGTGGCCGAGGCGTTGCGTGGTGGCTTGCGGCGGCCCTTAAAAAGGCACCTGAACATTTTTCCAGTCAAAGGAAAGACGTTCCCTGGGCCCCGAACTAAAATGTGGGCGGGCGGGCGTGCGGACGAAACGACGCGGCGAGAGGAGTAGGAACTCCACGTGATGGAGCCGCGGCGAGGCCCGGCGCTGTCCATCTCCGTGTCGGCGGTGATGCACGAGATTTCCACTCTGCCGCAGAGTTAATGGCAGCGAGTGCCGCACCACCTTTTATAGAGCAATCTCTCAGAGAGGTCCGGCGGGTGGAGGGGAGGCTCTCAACGGCCCATTACCGTGGAGGGGGTAATCACCGCCACACACCACGCCGTTTCAAAATATCACCGCCGCTCTTGGCGTCCTTGTCGCTTCCATTTGTAAGACGACAAGTGTGCGCGCGTGTCCGTGTTGACACCGGTTAACGTGGCACGCTCTTTAACATCGCCCATTTAAGCGGCTGGGTCAAGTGCTCGAGTGGTAGAGAGCGACGCTCACAATTAGAAGGGTTGCAAGTTCAAATCGCGGCCGGGTTGGTCGCCTCGGCCCGTTCCATTATTCCACGGTCGATAAAATGAGCGAGGTTTTGTGCGGAAATCAACGGTGGAAGTCCTTTGGAAATACCTGAACCCCATCGAATGAATGTGGAATTTCCACCACGCCGCACAACACCACGCTCGACCGCGCAAAAAACCACTCTGGATTTTGATCGCGGTCAAACGGGTGACCCGCTTGCACGTTATTCGGTTTTGTTTGTGTGTCGTCAGAAGATTTGCGAGTACGAGGGAATCCCCACAGCCTGCTACCCCCCAACAGACCGCGTGGTGGGTACCAGAGGGCAGTGCAGCAAAATCAGTCTTCCCCCCCCCCCCCCCACCGACCGGCGCTGACCCAACGAGGTGAAGTACGGCTGAATAGACACCACGACTCGCACGGCGCGGGGATTCCCTCATCAAGCAGCGGAGTGACAAAAGGGACTGCACAATAACGCACAGCACGCATTGGTGGGCACCCATTGGCTGCGACCGTCGCGAAACCTCAGCCACCTCTGAGATCGCGGGGGTTAAGTTTGGGAGCGAGAAAAGAAAACAAATCTGAAAGACGAAACTAAAATTAACCAGGAAGGGGAAGAGCAGGGCGGCAGCAAGGCCTCGCCAGTGCCCATCGCTGTAATCAGGGCACAGCGCAAACAGCGAGACGAACGAGAGTCTGGCGATGAATTAAAATACGAGCGCAGTGACAGCGCTCGGAGGACACAATCCAGTGACATATTTTAGATCCACAAATCAATTCCAATTATGGCCACGGAGGAAGCAGAGTTTTCAAGAATAACGCGCTCTGTGCTGTCACCACATCGACCACATCAGCAGCCACATTCTGGCAACAGCGGCCAAATATTGAAGAGGTTCAGCTGGAACATTTTGCCCCCCGAGTTAAACACACAGGCAGATAAATCTGCAGCCCTGAAACTGCTTGCTCAGGCCACTACTAGAAGACGGGCCTCCACTAGAGGCACCTTTATAGAGCCCCTGTAAAGATTATACGACCTCCTTTGCCATGTGGGGAGGGGGAGATGGAACCGAACCGGCGACTTCCGGATCACAAGTCCAGTGTACGAACCGTTACACCACGGTGGTGGCGGTGGCGGCGGCGGCTTCCTGTACACGCAGGCTCGAAAGTAAAAACAAAAAATCACACAGGGGTTAAACGAGGCGAGCTCCGTTACCCATTTAGCAGCTGCTCAGGAAGGCAACCGCAGATAACGTCGCGACGTCGCTTCCTTGGCGCAGGATCAGCGGCGACGTGGGACCCGGCTAGCGGGCGCACGCCGCCGCCCCAGCCATCGCGGGCACATCTTCAAGGTGCTTAACGGGAAAGGCTGGCCGATTATAGAAACCGTGCAATCACCGCTTCCGCTGTGCTCGCCGCACCGCGCGGGGAGAATGCTCCCGAGCGGAGAACGAACGCCGTCGGATTCGCCCGCGCGCATCTGTGCGTGCGTGCGTGCGTGCGCGAACGTCTGTATTTTCACGAGCGCAGGCACGACCGCCCGTGTGATTAATTAGAAGTGCTGCGGGCAAGTGTTTTGAGCGTGCGTAAGGGGGAACGGCCGACTGTGTACGCACGTACATGCGTGTGTGTGTTCAAAAAAACTCCTTGGGCGACTCAGCCTCAAATGAGTACCTGGTGCAGTGAGTAAACATCATCACTGGGGAGACAAAGGCGGTCGGGCATGGTGCTGGCCACCCATTCCCTCCTGTGTAATGTCGGCCTTAATAGGTGCTTGCTAACAGCACTTGCCCCAACAGTCTGTTCAGGCCATATGGGGGATATGTCTTTGTCTTGTTTACAAGCAACGGGAGTATGAACTTAATTAATCCCAATGGAAGCTGTTTCGTAGGGAAATCATCCCGAGCATAACTCTGTATACCATCTGAGCATGCAACGGCACGTAACGATGCAACGACTTATTAATTATTTAAACGATACATTTAAGATAAGAGCGACAAATCCTGCATGTAAGAATCTATTATTTACTGTTCGTGAAAATTACACGCAAACTGTCTGCTCAGGTCAGTTTGAGGCTAACGGAGCAGACAATACCGTACAAATGGGGTCATCAAAAACACACGCAAATAAAATTTGACTCGAATCTCGACACTTGAATCGTGAGGATCGGTCAAATTTCCCGGTGAGGCTTTATAGTTGCAAGCCCGGCCTACAATAGGTCCGCTTTACCACGCGCGCACACACAGCAGAGCCGGTGCACTCTGGCAAGAGTGCCATCGCTAAAGCACGTTGTCCTGCTGTTCGCGATGGATTCCCCTGGCGGTCAGCGTTCTGCTTTTATCCGACCCGGCCTAACTCATCGTGAGACAGGCGGAGAGGAACCTCGACTCGTCACCCGGTGACAGCCCAGCGCGACTCCCAAGTCTCTTTGGCGAGGGGAGATCGGCTGCAGGCACAGCGGGAAACAAACGGTGCAGTGATCGCACAACAAAAACCCATAAAAAATTACATATCATATATATTACCGCTGAAAACATTTGTCGTTGGACACGATTAACAGAGATCGATAATGTAAACAAGATGAAGGCTGGCCGAGGAGAAGGGATGCATCAAAGGGATTTACAATCGTGTCGTCTGAGTCGAGGCGGTCGTTACGTGCGAGCGAGTCGTCCGGGGTGCTGTGCACATCGCTCCGCACCCCAAGCCGCACGCGAGACATACACACACACGCACACGGTGCGCTCCTGTGCCAACGCCTTTCCTATCGTTGGATCTGTTGAGAAGACCACGCCGCCTAGCGCTCCTCCTCCGCGCTCCAAAATAACAATTTGAGAGGGGCCCAAAGCTGTTCCTGGACCGTGAGGGCGTTGCGGATCAAGGAAGGAAAAATATCTTCGAGAAATCTGGAGATGCGGCCAAACACCACCAGGCGCGCGGCATAACCCGTACCGCTCAAAAACGAGCACGCGCGAAGGGTCGACGGTCGCACGTGTGTGTGTGTGTGTACAACCCAAACATGCTTTGCTTGTAAATAGGCTCATTATATTCCTTTTCCACGTAAATTTTCGGAGCGAGGAGGGCAGCCCAAACGATTAAGTATATCGCACGGCGTAGTGTAGAATAAAAAAATATTTAGAATAATATTAATGCTGCAATTAATGGTTTAAAATGCTAAGGATATAAAATACCTAACACGGACGCGGTAATAACCAGGAAGGGAATTCTTAGCTAAGCGCAACAAAGTGCCGGCTAAGCCCTAATATACGGCTCAAAGCCCAGCGCTCCCAACAGTGAAAGGGTGCCCGCGGATACTCTGCAATCCCCCTCCACCACCGCACGTCCTGCCCCACTCGCTCGCTCATTAACGAGCAGCCCATTTAATCGGCAGCTAATTTAAAACAGCCCGCGATAAATTGTGCATCAGGGTCCCTAATTGCTAACAAGCAATTACAGCGCACTGGTTATTACAGTTCATTAGGAGTGAAATAAGCCAGGAATGGATCCTGTATTCAGCGCACATGCGCGCACACGCTGGAGTGCAATCGCGGGTGCGCGGTGAACGTCGATAGGGCCGGACGTGCGGACGCGCCTGCCAGCTCGCATACACACCGCCGCTACCACCGCCACCTCAAGCCACCACTGCCACCGCCACTGCTGTCATCGCCACCCCTACCACCGCCGTCACCGACGCCGCCGCCGCCACCACTACCGCCGCTGCCGCAGGCTTGACTTCAGAAATAAACCCCCTATAAGTGGTGACATACTTGAAGAAGGCGTTCATGAGTTATGAAAGTAAACACACACATTACTGCCGTTGTGTGGGGGGTTGTGTATTTTTACGCGACTCATATCGCTCGTGGAACTTTGTGACAGCCAGCCTCCCCATCGGACAAGGATTTCGCGCGCCCGCACACACACACACACACGCGCAATAACGAGGGCTGTCCAAGTCAGCCATCCGACAAACGATTTCTGCACCCGGCACACCACATCCAATGTACCTATTTACTCTGTACGGCTGGGGCTCCGAATCACGGTGCTGCTGCCTCCCAAGCTGCTCAAGTATCAACAACGAGCTGGAAAATATTCTGTGACAAATAAAGCCCTGCTTGCAGAAATATTGATTGCGTTTTGTTAGCAAGAAAATGTATTACGGTTTGCAAGTGAAACGAATGTTGCCTTTTTGTTGTTGGTACGACACAAAAAAAATCTAATCCGTGAAGGAAATGTGCATTTACACCCAGCATAGTCACAATCATCAATGAAGAAAACGGAGCACTCGGGAGAAAAAGCCACCACGCATATCAGAGGGGGTCACCGAACAGTGCCAAATACCTAATCGCCTCGCAAGACCCACGCCTACAACACCGGGCATTCCCAGACAGGTTACAAACCCAATAACCAGGTTCAGTCCTGTTCAGTTTTAAAGATCTCACAGACGGAGTTGCATTCAAGGGCCACGTTGCTGATCGGAAATTACCCAGAATGCCTCTTACCGAGAGGTTCCCATCCCCGAATCACCTCCACGGCTCCACCTTGCGTCGGGACGTCACGGTGACTGACAGCTTGGATTAAAGCCATCACCAACCATACCAACACCAGCCCATCAATCTCGCGTCTCTTAGGCACCCCCCCACCTTCCCCCATATTACTACGCCGCACAGCTAACAACATCTCATAACGGCGTCACTTACGGGTGGCGGCCACGCTGAGCTATAGTTGGAAACATTTAAATGTGACGCTGTTTGCTAGATAAGTGGCTTTCCGAAGCATAAATCAGTAAATCGATAAACGCAGCTAAATAGAAGGGCCTTCACCCACAATGCCGCCGCGTATTTTTCTTACATATGGATTGGCACTTTAACTTACAACTGACATTAGTCATAAGTGTGTGCGAGCAAATCAATAAAACAAGCCCTTTTTCACACCGCTTTTGCAGGTATCGCATTTCCGCGGGACGTTTGACAACTGATTTATAACGCACCGGAGAGGTCCCCTTTTCCTGATTACTCAAAAAACCTGAAGAATGATCGGATGCGGCCGACAATATAAAGGCTACTTACAAGCGCGTGGGAGGGAGAAGTGGCTCGTGCACTGCGCTACGATTCAACAAGCCACTACCGACAATAATTTCCGGCCACGGCCAGCATGAACGCTGTTTAACACGTAGTAGGCATTCGCGACCAATATCATCCATAAGTGGTTTTTTTTTTCGGGTTAGATCGTGTAAATATATATATCTGGCTGTCGCCTGATGAAGCTAGTCGGAATTATTGGCGAAACGTCGTACTCAGATTGTAAATGTTGAGGCTTGGCTCTCCAACACACCGGTGTGCTGTGCCAGTGACGAATTGTCCACGTTCTGTTTACGTGCCAACCCTTACTAGTTGGCTGTGTCGGGTGGTGGTGGGTTTAACGACACATTTATATATTTACCCAATCTAACCCAAAAAAACGAGCGATATCTGATCCACTACCACACAGGCCTGCCACTCTTCGCCAAGCTCACACTTGCCACCGTGGTGAAGTATGGTCAAACAACCCAAGGCTTACACGGGGTGGTGGAGAGGGCCTTCATCCAGCAGTGGGCTATACATGATGAATTTAAATTGCACATTAACGAGTCCCTGCTCAAATTAGCAACGAAGATGGTGTTCATCTCCGGTTCACAACCCTGAGCGAATGGTGGAAATTCCACATTCCCACGGCGGGGGAGGGGGGGGCAAAGTCTCTCCATAGGACAACCACTGTTGACTTCTCGACACCTTTGCAGTAATGTTATGGATGATGGCCGGAGTCAACCCCGCAACCAAAATGAGATTGCTTTGACGTAGCAGGCAGCGCGTGTATAGCTTAGAGACATGACGAAGACACGCATAAAATTCGATTTAAAGCTTTCGTGACTGCAGGGATTCATCTTCTTGGTTCTTTCGGTAAAGTCACGTAGAACGCTTGCGTTGTGGCCGAAACGTCGTGAGAATTATTTTATTGTTTTATTTTTATTATTTTATTATTTCTCTTCTACGTGACTTTACCGAAAGAACCAAGAAGACACGCATCTGATGCACTCCGATTAAGTAGTTTATAGTCACGTGACAACTTGGTTTCAAGACCACAAAACGCCAACACAAGTGGGGTATTTGTTCATCAGTGAGCAAGTCTCCGGATCATCAGTGTGCGTGCTCTTGGGTGTTACATAATACCTCTTAGGTGACTATAAACTCAGCTTATACTGCTTGAATTTCAAGCTATGAAAAATATATACCCTTAATATCTATATATAAAAGGGAAATTTGTGAATGTGTCTGTGGGGCCGTCCATAAATGACGTCACGCACCTAGAGGGAGGGGTCAGACATTTGTGACGATGTGACGAGGGGGGGGGGTGAGAAATGTGACGTCACATCAAAATGCGCAACTTTAAATAAATATAAATTTAATAGAATTGTTATAACACTAATTTTCATTATTAACAATTTGATTACTTAAATTTACTAAGGTCACCTTTTATTCATTCCATGAAGCAGTATTTTGCTTCTCCATGGGAGAATGGAGAAGCATACATCTTGTAAATTTTATTATTGATTGTTATTAAACATTTTGATTCTAATGATTCAACCAGGGCTTTTTCATTCTGTGGAATGAATATGTGATTGTTATAATTGTACTCTCCATTTTGCTTCGTTCTATTACAAAGTTTCAAGTATTTTTTAATAGTTATAATTACTTTTAATATTTGATCATTATAAGAGAATTTCAATGTAATATTTTTAACATCTGCAGTTTTAGTTCGACGTTGAATATTTTCAAGTGAATTTTATGCTAAAAATCAGCTTTCCAACGCCTCCTTTTTAATACGTGTTTTCTCCTACAACATCAGAGTTCAGCGCCATATTAAATACGCACTACAATGACAATAGTTTAAAGCGATTTGAAGCATGTTTTATTTTCAAAATGGAAATATGGTTTGGGGGGGGGGGGCAGAGCTTTGTGACGTCATATTTGAGGGGGGGTCTGACTTTTTGTGACGCCGTGTGACGAGGGGGGGGGGGTAAAAAATCGCGTGACGTCATTTATGGACGGTCCCTAAAGCTAGTGTACAATAAACACCACATTTCCATGAATTTGCATATTATGTAGCTTACAGCACCTGAAAATATGCAGCTTACAGCACCTGACATTATGTAGCTTACAGGACCGGACAGTATATATCTCCTGTGTACGAGTACACATGCTCAGCAGTACACATCTCGTGTGGGTACACCACCTCATAGCAGTCCAAAACTAGTGAGTATACGTGCTCATAGCATCACACATTTCCTGCGAGTACACATGCTCAGCAGCACACATGTTCCGAGTATGCTCATAGCAGCACGCGGCTCGTGTGTTGAAGTACACCTGCCCGTAGCAGGCCTGGCGCTGGCCACCCACCCCCTCGTGTGCAGTGCCTGTCCTCATAGGTGCTGCTCGCTAACAGCGCTTACCCCAACAGTCTAAGGCTATACGGGGGGGGGGGAGAGGTTATATCTTTTTACCAGTACCTATACGGGGGGGGGGGGAGGTTATAGCGTTGTCTTTGTAACAGTACACAGACCTTGTACACACGCAGTCGCTGGCCACGTGTAGCCGCTGTGCGTGCTGCGGACCACGTGGCGCGCACGTGCGTCACCTGGGCCGCGCTCTTCTTCCGGCACGCGTCACCGCGGGCGATCATCTCGGCCACCATCCGCCCCTCCCGATGGACGAGCGCGGCGACCAATCAGGCGCGGTCTTGGTTTCGCACCGTCACACGCCCTCGCCCAATGGGGACGCGCGGGGAGGAGCCCCCCGAGCGGTCGCGCGCTCCGCTTATCCGCGTTGGGAAATGCAACGTCCAGGCTCCCCTAGATTCCATACAGCGCATACGCGGGGCCCCACGCCGCTGTCCGGCCGCTCCCATTGGCGAGATCGGGCACCGCCCCGCTCGGCTCCGCCAGCCAATAGCAGACGTCTCAACGGCATTGACTGGTGCGGGTGGGGGGGGGCTGTTCGTAGAGGGGGCGGTGCCACGAGACCCCCCGCGTGCCCCCCCCCCCTCTCAACGCAGGGGGTCTCGGTGGCCCCGCCCCCCGCTTCCCCCGGGGCCCCGCCTCCCGGGCCGCACATGCTCGAGACGAGCACGCGCCCGGCACGGGCACGAGACACGCGGGGAGACACGCGGGGAGACACGGGGCCGCTCGGGGGAGACACGGGGAGACACATTGACCGAGACACACGGGGGTGGTAGTGGTGGTGGGGGACACACACACACACAAAGGTACACAGATTCAGGGACGTAGACGCATAGACACGGACACAGAGACACGCGATTGAAAGAGATATTTAGACACGGGGAGACAGACGGGGAAACTTGCCAGTGACACCTCTGCAGACCTGCAGAGTGCCGCCCAGACCCGGCACTTCTGAACTCATCCCTGCCCAGCACAGCCGAGCGGTGCCCAACTGCGCGCCCTGTCCCATTGCCCAGCTGAGCTGACAGCCATCGGCCCGGACTTCCCTGCATGCGGTGGCAGCAACGGCGAGCAGCAGCAGCAGCAGCGACAGCAGCGGGGAGCAGCAGAAGAATAAGAAGAAGAGGAGGAGGAGGAGCCCCAAGTCGGCGGATCAACTCTGTGCAGTGCAGCTCGGGACGCAGCGAGCGGTGAGTGGGGCCGCGCTCTCTCGGCACACAGCGAGTGAGTAGTGGATTCAGCGAGTGAGTGAATGATTCGGTGAGCGAGAGAGCGAGCGAGAGAGTGAGTTTGTGTTTTGAGTGAGCGAGCGAAAGAGCGATCAGCGATTCAGTTGACCGATTGTGTGAAAGAGCAAACGAGTGAGTCGAGTTGATGGCCGAGTGAGTGAGTGGTCGCCTGTGTGCGAATGAGTTAGTTATTGAGAAAATTATTGAATTGGTGAACGAGCGATTGAGTGAGTTGGAGAGCGAGTTGGTGAGCGAAATGGTGAGTGGTGAGTAGAACGAGTGGGTGAACGAGTGAGCGATCGAGTGAGTGAGTTGGAGAGCGAGTTGGTGGGCGAAAATGTGAGTGGTGAGTGAACGAGTGGGTGAACGAGTGAGCGATTGAGTGAGTGAGTGAGTTGGAGAGCGAGTTGGTGAGCGAAAATGTGAGTGGTGAGTAGAACGAGTGGGTGAACGAGTGAGCGATCGAGTGAGTGAGTGAGTTGGAGAGCGAGTTGGTGGGCGAAAATGTGAGTGGTGAGTGAACGAGTGGGTGAACGAGTGAGCGATTGAGTGAGTGAGTAATCGAGTGAGTGTGAACTTTGTAGAATGGGGGAGCGAGTGTGAAGCCAGCAAGCGAGTGAAAGAGCGCACTTAGAAGAAGTGAGCGAGTAAGTGGGATGGAGCGAGCGAGCATTGAGTGAGCCACACAGATTGTGACATTAGTAGAGGAGGAGTGGGGGGGGGTAAACGAGTGAATTTCGTAGAGCCAGTGTGAACTGGGTGCGAGTGAGTGAAAGAGTTGTACAACTTTGGCGAAGTGAGTGAGTAGGTGAGTGACGTGTCGGTGAGTGTGACTTTGTCGGAGTGGTGTTTTTGCTTGTGTAGATGTTTGCGATATTGAGTGAGCATGAACTTGATGGAGTGTCGGAAAATGTGTTGTCGAGTGAGTGTGAATGTGCCAGTGATGTTCAAGGACTTACATTAATGAGAGTGAATGTTGAGCGAGTGGGTGAGTGGGTGAGTGAATACGTACAAGGACCTGTCAGTCGAGTCAAAGTGAGTGTGAGTGTAGGTCAGGTGATGAGCGAGTGTGGGTGGAGTGAGTTTGCGTGCTGCGTGAGTCAATGGGTAGTAGGTGAGAGAGTGAGTAGGTGAGTGAGTGTGGGTGAGAAGGCGTGTGTTGAGTGTGCGAGTAAGCATGCAAGTGATTACACATGCTGGTTGAGTGAGTTTGCGTGCAGGGAGTGAGTGAATATGTTGACTTGCTGGGTGGGTGAGTGCGTTTACACGTGATTCACTATGTTGTGTGAGTGAATGAGTGGTGTGTGGATTGAGTGGGGGAGTGAGTGAACTACGTTCTTGTTGAGTGAGTGAGGACGTGCTACTTGAGTGAGTGGATGAGTGAGTATGCCGTGCTGGATAAGTGAGTGTGTGAGTGAATGAGTGTGGAGTGAGTTGGTGAGTGAATTACGTGCTGGTTGAGTGAGTACGTGCTCCCTGAGTGAGTGAATGAGTGAGTACGGCGTGCCGGATGAGTGAGTGGGTGTGAATGAGTGTGGAGTGAGTTGGTGAGTGAATTACGTGCTGGTTGAGTGAGTATGTGCGACGTGAGTGAGTGAACGAAGGAGTGAGTGGGTGAGTGAATGAGTGTGGAGTGAGTTGGTGAGTGAATTACGTGCTGGTTGAGTAAGTACGTGAGTGAGTGAACGAAGGAGTGAGTACGGCGTGCTGGATGAGTGAGTGGGTGAGTGAATGAGTTTGGAATGAGTGGCTGAGTGAGTATTCGCTACGTGAGCGAGTAACAGAGTGAGTACGGCGTGATGGATGGATGGATGAGCGAGTGGGTGGATGAGTGGGTAGGTGAGTGAGTGAGTTAGGAATGGGTGGCTGAGTGAGTATTCGCTACGTGAGCGAGTAACAGAGTGGATGGATGAGTGAGTGGGTGAGTGAGTGGGTAAGTGAGTGAGTGAGCGAGTGAGTGGGTGGTGAATTCACTGGGAGGGGTTGGTGGTCCAGCGCAAGAGTTGACTCGCAGTAGTTTCCCTACGCGTTTGAAACCCGCGGTGGCCACTCAGCTCGCCCACTCTATAGACTTTATAGACTCATGATAGACCCACTGCTCACTCACCTACATGCTCACCACTCTATAGACAGCGCTGCGCTTACTCATCTGCATACAGCACTCGCCACTCAATCGACTCGCCGAACTGCGTTCGCTGCGGCCAAGTTGATTGTTGCAGCCCAGCGCCCTAATGCACTCACACCGCTAAAGAATCAGCACATCATACAAAGACCTGGGACTTCACTGCGCTCGCCACCCTATGCACGATGTGCATTAACACTATGTCAAACTACAGCTCTGTACGCTGTTTCGTTTATGCTGCATCCCACTCAACGACCCAGATAAACTTACTCTCACCATGCCTTACGCGGTCCAACAACCTACTACCTAGGTGCCCTCTCGACCTGTCAATCTGTTGAGGTTGCTCCATCGCTTACGCGCAGTAAACATGTTACTCAACGCCATATACTCGCCCGCAGTGCGCGATAGGCACCGCTCTACGCCTCTTGGTTAAACTCTACACATTATTAAAAGGAAATCTATATTATAGGCGACGTTTCTGGTAACGGCCCTTCTGAATGGCACACGAAGGGACATGTGCTATGGATAAGAGCCATTGCCCGAAACGTCGCCTATCATATGTTTTTTTCCCCCACATTTTAAGACGGATGTATTTAGTTGTATTTTATTTTAGTTGCGCTTGTGCGCTACTGCCAACACAGTTACACCAAATACTCGAGACCCGCGCGTGTGATTTACGTCGCTATAGACTACAGGGGCTGTACGTGCACTCTCCTTTACCCGTGTACACACACAGCACTAGTACATATACATTGCAGCCGGAATACGCATACTAAGCACACAACCGTGTGTACGCAGTGATCCATTTGTAGATACCGCACTGATTTCTGTTGACCCCACCCCGCCTCTCTTGGCTTTTGTCTCAACGGGTGACGACTGCATGTCATGAAAGTGACGGCTCCGTGTCTTACAGAGGAGACTGTCAAACAATGGGATAGTAAGCGGCGTAATTAGATCGTCGGGAGGAGATACGTGGCGGCAGTGAAACAACGTGGTCGCTTTCCGCTTCCAGAGCGACGAGTCAATGCTATTGTAGTGGGGTATCTATAAATGGCTCACGCTCTGTTGTACACACAAACTTTACTGCGTTATACCATACGCGTGTGTGTGTGCATGACGCACTGGGTATGCGCTGCAGTGCATGCTGTCCGCCTGTCTGCTGTCCGCGTGAACGCACGTGTGTGTGTGTGTTCTGTGTTTGCTATGCGTTGTGTGCATGCTATGTGTGTACGCAATGTGCGTTGTCTACGTGTGATATGCTTACCATGAGTGTGTGTGCATGCTATGGACTATTTAGGACTATGTGGGAATTATTGATGTGTGTGCACACGAGTGCTGTGTGGACACGCTGTGTGTGTGCATACGGGGTATCACACGTGAGATGTGTATGACGCGTTCACAATCATCGCGCAGTGCGAGCGTGTGACAGTGTTGGACACGGAATCATCCACGACCGAACCGGTCCAGATTTAAAATTGAACGGCGTGGATCCCGTTAAAATGTAGGATTCTAATACAATTTACTCAAATATGTTCACCAACAAATTGGCAAATATGTCAGGCTTAATTATGAATGACATATAAGTACACAAATAACCCCCCCGTGTGTCACGCTGTTGGTGGACGAGCTTCCTTCACTGCGTCCACGCAGCAGTGAGGCTTATTTGACCATACTTCACCACGCCGGTCAGTGTGGGTTGGTGATGTATAAAAGCCGCAGAGATGTTGGCCGCATTCTCCTACTCGAGCCGCTGTAACAGTTGAGAGAGAGAGAAAGCTTCCGTGGCAGATGCCAAAAAAGTATTTCGCCGTGAGATGAAGCGAAATAATTTCGGCGAATGTACGAATGCAGCGTAGGTTGTTTGCAATTTTTGTTTGAGATAGGAACCAGCGGTATTTGTAATGAAACAAAAATGTATCCTGAATCGTCATTCCGGATACAGAATAGCACGTGTGTAAACACACACGCGAACATCATGGGCAATGTTCTTGGTTCAAGGTGCAGAATATTCATTGTTTTACGTAGTGATTCTTGCACTGCCGCTGCCGATCCCGGCGACCACCCGAGTTCGATTCCCGGCCACGGCTCAGGTCAAGTGGGGGGTACTACGGCCGCGGTCCGTAGCACCCCTACAGCAGCAGCCCACGCTGACCAGCAGCGGATTGCATCGTAGAACATTGGGATATCTACCAATAACCTTTCCATCTTCATCACCGCCCACATCCTCACCGGGATACCTCCTCACCATGTGTCCAGTTACCTCCTCAAGTACATCTTTCAACAACTTCTTTGCCTCCTCAACTTCCTCCTTACATGAACCACCTCGTCATCACTGTCATCGTCATCCTCCCAGCTACATTGTGACTATCTGCAGCCTCATCAGCACATCTTCTCGCACCTCCTCAACAGCTTCCAGCCACCTCCTTGCGACCTCCCAGCTACCTCCTCATTACACCAACCCCACCACCACCACCACCACCTCCTCACGACCTCTCGCACTACTCTTCACCCCCTGCCAGCGAGAGCCCGCGGCTCAGGGAGACGCGGATGAGGAGTCGCACAGAGGCAGTCGTGCGCTGCACGCGGCCACACACGCAGCAGCCAGGGTCGATCCACTGCTGGATGAAGCCGTCACCAGTCCCGCGATGTGGCACTCCGCCTAGCACCTGCACTCGAGCTGATTTAATCGCTACATCTCCCAGTTGGATGTCCTCTCGGACGGTGACCCAACCTGTATATTCACACACGCGGCGCAGCGCCGACACACGGTGAACGGGTGCGCCAGATTGCAACCGCTCTTCTTCACGTCTCTACTCTTAGCTTCGTGTATTTACACGCG